AAAGATATACATTTTCCCACTAAAATTTATAATAAAAAATGTTGAAATTGGAGTTAGTAATTCGGTCAACCGAAAGGCTCATATATAAATTTAAGTTTTCTAAAGTTGCTAAAAAAATTTAAATAATTATTTTATGCCTGCAGAATTTTATAAGCATGATTATTTTGTAGGTCATTATATTATTATTTTAACCAATATACGGTTTGAGCAATATTATATTAAAAAATCAGAAGAAAATAATATACCTTATATATTATTTCTAAAAGGTGTTTTTTTTTTGTTTTTTTTTGTCGCAACGCCATAACTTCGTCAATTCTTCATGAAATCCAATGATTGAACCCTCATTTTAAAAATCTTCTTCACCTTCAGGTGGGAAAAATAGTCATCCCCACCGAAATTAAAGGAAAAGACTTATGAGGGAAAAGAAAGTTTATTTGCGAATAACTAAAAAATTATACTCTTTTTTTATTTTAAAAATCGTACAATTATTAACAAAGATACAGTCCATTTGTTTCGGTATACTTAATGATTTCTTCCTCTTTGAAGAGATTGCATTTACTATTCTATTATCTTTTCTTCCTGGCTGATATATTTTTTATTATTTCTTAAAGGCATTTTTGTCTTTGTAAGTTTAAATTTTTTAATAATTTAAAAAATCCCATGATCGAGACTTTATTTTGAATCGTACCTTTCCTAAGCAATTTATACAAATATTTTGGTATATTATATTAAATGGAATATCCCTTATTTAATGCATAGGATCTTCTTATTTCCATATTGTTTTGCTATTCCTCCACTAAACAAAATTGTCTGCGAATTATTGGCAATGGCCCAACTAGTTTATGCAATATTACAAAGATGTGAAAATATAAACTGTATCAAGAAGAGAAGTGTCTTGCGGGTAATGTGTCGACAGCGCCGTGTTTCGTGACTGACTTGTGATTGATAGTAACTATCATCAGCATATTATATAATATTTGTAATAATACCAATACTTAATTATTTTTTTATAATATCTTAAATATATTAAATAAATTCAGATATAATTTTATATATGGAACGAAATTTTATTTAATATAAAAAAGGAAAAACTCAAATAAAGACATAAATGGTGGTATTTAATTTAGGAAAATAAATATAAATAATGAAATATTAAAATTAAAATAACTTAAGAATATATGGACTTTACCAAAACCTATTTATTATATTTATACTGCTCTGAAATATTTTTGTAAATTCAAAAACATTTAACTCATTTCAGTAATATCTCCCCACCCCACTTTTTTTTTTTCCACTGAATCAAAATCAGAAACAAAAATATTAAAGTTTCCATTTCAGAAATATAAAAATGTATTTAGACTAAGAAGATTATATTATTTTGTTTGAAAACGGCTAAATTGAAAGGATAGTAACATAAGTCATTGCGAAATATAATTAAATTTAGCCATTTTTTTTTAAATTAACAATGACTGGCTCATCTATCAATGATTAATTAATAAATAAAAGATTTCAATATCCCAATGAAATGAAGAAAAAATTTATAAATCACAAATATGCTTAAATTGTTTATTGTTAGATTGTCAATACATTTAAATTTTAGAACTTTTTAAGATTTTCTTTTCTTTGGCCATTTATTTTAGACATAATTTTGAAAAATACTATTAAATACTATTATTGGCAGTATTAAAACTAATTTTATATTTGATTCTCTTTGTCCATAAATATATTTATATGTCTAGTAATAGTTTTAACACTTTAACCAATTTCGAAAAAAAATAGACTTAGTTCCGTGGATTCTGATCCTTTCAATTCATTTATAAACTTGGTAAAACCAAAATTAAATAATTTATATGTGATATATATGATATAATATATGAGAGATAATATATATGAGAGAGAAAAATAAATAAGCTAGCGTAGATAGGAAAGTGTAAATTCAAGGTAAATATAGTTATATAATTGTGGCATTATTTTGGGAGAATGTGGTCCGTGTAAAGCCTTCATCTGTTATTACAGGCGGAACTACGGGGAGGGGGCTTTCGGGCTGAAGCCCCTCCCCCCACAAAAATGGTTAAATATAATCATGTTTTATGGTAAAAAAATAATCTCTTAAAGTATTATTGTTAGTGTAATTACATTTAACAGGACTTCAAGAATCACTTAAACACCATTTCATATAGGTAGTATCTTTCTTTTTTTTCTCAAAGTAATTATCGTTATATATACATGAAAAAAAAATACTTTCGGGCTGAAGCTCCTCCCCCTCCCCACAAATTAAATCCTGGATCCTCTAGTGTCTATTGTTGATTATATGAACTAATTAATGCATTATAAATAACTTATAACCTTTATTATTTTTGTCTCTGTTAGGTTTCTCGTCTCTTGGTACTATTAAAATAATCTTGAGACCACAAAATTCTAAGTGGCAGTTCATTTCATAATATATTCCTACGAGATCTTACAATGAATAAAATTTAATAAATTTGAATATTTTAAATAAACATCTCGTGCCCAACATCTGTTGGTCCAGTTATAATTCAAGATCCGAAATATATCAGTAAGGTCATTGTCCTCAACGAAACTTTTACTAAATAATGAATTCCGCTTGTATAATAATAATGATAAAGATGTTCAAAGCATATATAAATATTAATTGCATGTATGACCAATTATTGTATTTAAGAAAACGATATTTAGAAAAAAATTAAGAAATGATAAATACTGTTAAAATAAGCTGTATAATGATAAATTAATTATTTTAAATAGACAAAATGGTATAAAATGATTTCACATAAACATTGAAGGCAAAAGTAAATTATATAATAATATATTATATATCTCCAAATAAATTAAATTATACTAACTTGTTTATTAATATTTAATTAATTATTATTATTATTTAATTATATTCATAAAAAGTAATTTCCACAATTAATAATAATAATATGATACGATTATAATAATATGATAGTATAGTATTAGTATTATCATATAATAATATGATGTACTAATTGCTTAAAATGAATAAAACTATGAGCTAATTGTATTAAATTTTTTTTTTCAGAGCTTGTTTATTGAGAAATATTATAATCTGTCTCAAAGGACATTTATGATAGTTTTCAGAGATCACATTCACACTGTATGTAAAATAAATAAAAATATATTAAACAGCAAAATAACATATATACAATAAATGAGAATAAAACAACTTTAAGATAAATACATTTTTAAAAAAAGAACACATACATATCTATTAAATTAAGAAAGTCACTATAACTTATTTTTAAAAGTTTTTTTATTGAAAAATTAACATTATTAGGAATAGATTTTTATTTATTTTTTTTTGGATGTGCAATTGAGGTAATTAGATTAGGAAATGTTTATTAAATACTAAAGTATCATTAAATATTATTATTTATAAAAGGTATTTATTTAATTAATTTATAACCTTTCCTAATTGGAGAAAGAAATTTAAAAGCCGAGGGAGGTTCAGATATAAATATTAATAGTCCCGACAGTGAATCAATCCAATGAAAGTAATAAATAATTTGTTTTTTAAATAATGAAAGAATAGAATAAAAATTTTCTTATGTTGTTTAATGTCTTTTTGTCGAGATTTTAGGATTAAATTTACAACCTTATAACATGCCATTTTTCTTTATAGGACTATAATATGGACAAGAGTAGTTGAAATAATTTAAAAATATTTTTAATTTTTTTTGCTGTCCGAAAACTTACTTTTACTTGAATATTTTCGGCCATTATTTTAAATAGATTTATATATCTAAATTTCATTACTACATTTGATATATTTTTTTAAAACAAAAAGCTCGATTGGACTCTTAGCTTCTGAAGCTGTCAATTAATGTTATAAATATGGTAAAACGGCGATTAAATACAAGTATAAACACAAACAAAAATAAATAAAAATGTACCTTTTAGTATATATGCTTATATTTGTTTATTCTAATAATTATAAGTGTATAAATTAGCATACCTCGTTTTGTATTCGTTCTCCAAAAGTTGTATATATGTATTTTATCTTGAAAATAGTATTGAATTTTTTCTGTCTGTTTTTTTTTTTTTATTACCGATAAATAAATTTATTTTAGGAATAGTAAATGTTTGAGATATTAAAATGTATCACAAAAAAGTACGTCCCATATAAATTATAAATATTTATTTTATATATTACTGATTGTGCAATAAAAGAACGTTCCGAAATAAAAGGATAGCCAGTGTGTAACATTGAAATTAATTAATAAATAAATTGATAAAACTGCATAAAATGAATACACATAAACGTCTAAGATAAAAGTAAATAATATAATAATAATGTTAGACAAATATATTATAAAATAAATTAAGCACGTAATACCTTGTTGATGATGATGAGCCAAGACCCCGAAACTTACTTCAAAAATAAAAGATGAGTTAATTGTATAATTAATAAATATATTAATTATTTTAAAAAACATTACAATAAATTATTGAAAAATTCATGGATTTGTGTATATGATTGCAACTGAATTAATGAAATATAAACAAACCAATGGCCTTTACTGTTATTTGTGACAATATATTCAGACAGATAAAGATATAGCAATGAATAATATTTAATAAATTTAAATATTTTCAATAAATATCTAGCAAGTAACTCTTGGTGGTCCAGTTATAATTCAAAACCTGGAATGTTTCCATAAGGTCATTGTCCTCAATGGAGCTTTTACTCTACAATGGATTTCGCTTGTAAAATATAATTAATTAAGTTGCTTAAGCATTTATATTTATGTTTTTAATTTAAAAAATAACATTTTTAGGAGTAGATTTTTTTTTTTTTTTTTGTGAGAGGGGGAGAAAGAATTGAAGCAATTAAATTATGGAATGCTTTTAATAATGATTTAAAACTATTTATTAAATTAATTTTACAAGCTTCTTTTTAAATTAGAGGATGTAATATTAAAATATATAGAATTACGAATAAGGTTCAGTTATAACTATTAATAGCCACGACAGAGAAGCGGACCAATGAAAGTAGCCGAAAGAGTGCAGCGACCAATGGGAACGCGGGAGAGACGGAAACAGTTAGAGGTGAACGACCGAAGGAAAAGTGTTCCACCGGCTGCAGGAAGTGGAGCTGGGCTCTTGTCGCTGTTCTGTCGGAGTACTCTTCCAGTTCTCCTTGGTCTTCGAGTCCTCCAGAACTGTTTTTCTTGATGGCATCGGCGAGAGGTGACCATCGAAGAAGACGAAGACCTGCTCCAGTGAGGTGTCATTGACCCTGGCCGAAGTGGAGCTGTGTTCTTGCCCGTCAGAATACACTTCAAGTTCTTTTTGGTCTTGAAGTCCTCCAGGATGGTCCTTTTCAGGAGGTGATAATATTCAAGAAGGAGAAGACTCGCTCCAGTGAGGTGTCGTTGACCCTGGCAAAAGTGAAGTTGTATTCTTGTCCTTCTGTCAGAATACTCTTAAACTTCTTCTTGGTCTTCAAGTCCTCTAGGATGGGGCTTCTGGATGGCTTCGCCAGGAGGCGATGCTTCGAAGAAGAAGACCTGCTCCAGTGAGGTGTCGTTGACCCCGGCCGAAGCAAGAGTGGTATCAGGGCCATGGAACTGGATAGCTCCAACCTGCGGCCTATGTCTTCTTCCAACAGAACTCCGCTTCTTCTCAACCTTAAAATATTATAACATTAAAGTCTCTTAATTAATTATATTTATACAATCTTTATTTATTTATTCATTATACATATAATACAGTAAACTTAAACTAGGAATATAAATAATTAAAATATATCGTTATTCTTTATATAATTTTTTTTTTTATTTATACGATATTTACAACTGTATAAAAAAAAAAAAATACATCTAGTAAATCCGCACATGGATATAATGACATGAAACACATGTTGAGAAACTATGTGAAACCATTGGTAGTACTCTAATAATATGTTTATATTAGGAGATCACGTGGCCATCTTCTTTTCAGACGCCTCGGAGGGTTATCAGGAATTGAATAGGAAGCAAGGTTAGAAATAAGAGGGTTGGGATGGTTATGAAGTTTATTATAGAAGGATAGATATCCGGATTGGGCCAAATCTGATACATAAGGAACATTAAGGATGATTTTATTTGTAACAAAGCAGGGAGCATTAATGATTTTACGAAGGATTTTGGATTGTAAGGATTGGATAGGAGAGGAATTTGAAGGTTTGGTGGAGCCCCATAGCTCAACTCCGTAAGTCCAAATAGGCCTTATTGTAGTCATGTAAATGAGTCTTTTGTAATTAATTGGAAGCTTAGAGCGTTTGTCTAGTAAGTGCTCAAGTAGTCGGAAACGTCGAGCTGTTTCTTGTCGTTTCAGTCTGGTATCTAAATATTTATTATTTAAAAAAAAATATATTTCCTTTATCGAGAATGCTGATATTCATACTCAGTCTTTTCCTATATAAACTAGATCTTCGTATATAAAATAAATTGTTAATATATATGAATTAAACATTGTTTAAATTTAAAGGCAACTCTAGTAATGATGAAATAATACAAAAACGGTTCTTCATTAATACAGTTACAATTTTTTTTTAAATGTTATTTGAGTTTTCAATCACAGTTAATTTTTTTTAACGCTTTTATATTTTCAACCCCTATTCAGATAAATTCAGATGCGAGAGAAATTTGAAGGTTTGGTGGAGCCCCATAGCTCAACTCCGTAAGTCCAAATAGGCCATACTATAGTCCTGTATATGAGTCTTTTGTAATTAATTGGAAGGTTAGAGCGTTTGTCTAGTAAGTGCTGAAGTAATCGGAAACGTCGAGCGGTTTCTTGTCGTTTCAGTCTGGTATCTAAATATTTATTATTTAAAAAAAAAATATTTCCCTTATCGAGAATGCTGATAGATTTTCATACTCAGTCTTTTCCTATATAAACTAGATATTATTATATAAAGTAAATTGTTAATATATGAATTAAACATTGTTTATATAAAGACAACTCTAGTAATACAGGTACAATTTTGTGTTTTACGTTATTTGAGTTTTCAATCACAGTTAATTTTTTGTTAACGCTTTTATATTTCCAACCCCTATTCAGATAAATTTTTAAATCAATTCCAAAAAAAAAATAAAAATAAAAAAATACGATGTTCTTTAGTTTTCTCTCATACATTTTCTCTGGCTTAATTAAAATTTATTACTTCATGTTCTTAACCTTCCGAAATTATTTTTTATTTTAACTGCTCAATCTTGTATAGTTTTGCCCAAAATCGGTCTTGTTCTTGCACTTTGCAAGACCAAGACCAAGGCCGCCTAACTGTTGCAAGACCAAGACCAGGACTGGTAAATAAAATCGATTTTTAAAAAAAAAATTAAGGCAAAATAGTTACTAATACTCAAAAATTTTAGTTACTATATGTTAATAATTGGTATAACCAATATACTTTTGCATTTAACTCCTCTAATTTTTCATTCGGGCTTAGTTAGATTTCTCCTATCTAAAAAATTACCGTAATATCTCTATAGTAATAGGATAATAAGTAACTGCGAGACTCTTGCGCAAGACCAAGACTATGACCAAGACTGAGTTTGCAAGACCAAGACTCGTTTCGGTCTCGCTTTTGGGCAACACTAATCTTGTATAAAGATAATGAAGAATAATATATTTATTGGTCATAATATCACAAAAATAGCTTTTTCTGGTATAATCATACAAGTAAAACCATACTGTATATATTAGACAATGCCTTGAAATATCCTTCAATACTTGAATAATTAGGAGCCTCGAAGATGTGTAATAAGACAGGACATTGAGGATCAGTTTGTGAAGAGGAACTGATATGAGAATGGAAACTCGATCCTGAAGGAGGTCAGGGCATTGACCTCGCCATCAACGGTGACTTTAATGCTCCAAGCTGTTCTGATAGAGGCGGTTGTCTCGAACGGAGCTCCTGTTTGGGTAGGTCCTAGCACTCGAAACTTTACATATAATTATAAATATATATATATATAATATATATATATATATATTATTTTTTGTTTTTACTTATAATAACTTTGTACTATATGCACTCATCCACTATCTGTATTGCATTAAGTACAAACACAATTAGAATTGTCTTTACAACTTTTCATATGTTTCAATTACATATTAACAATTTCTTCTATCTAGGATGATTTAATTTTGGTTATATCTTGTACATTGTAAACTTTATTCATTAGTAATAATTTATTGCTTTAATTAAATGCTATTCTTCCTGTACATGCCTAAAATTTTCAGCAGACACCAAAGCCTGTTTGTGAACATCTAGCAGTATTTGAATGAATACAAAAACAAATGCATGAAAAAATTATAAAAATGAAGGAAAAATTTAATTTAAAAAAAATATTGATTATTATCTGTTTATTTGTATTTTACTATGATATACTGATTATCTGATGAATTAATCCCTAAGGTGGATTGTTTATCATGTTTGTTGTTTGTCAACAACTATATCTGTTAACTCTTGTTGAGACTAGCTTAGTATTTTGTTTGCTATTGCACTGTGAATATGGAAGAAAATATCATTAATTATAGACATATTTTGTTGTATTATTTTAAGAAAGGTAAGCCTGCTGCAGAAGCTCATAGAAAAATTCGTAGTGTTTATGGGGATGATGCCTTAACCGAACGCACATGTCAAAATTGGTTTGCCAAATTTCATTCAGGAAATTTCGACATCAATGATGCTCAGCGGTCTGGTTGTCCATATGAAATTGAAACGACCAATGTCATAGCCATTTTTGAACAATGTCCTACCCAATCAGTGCGAGAGATTGCTATGGCCCTCAATGTGTTGCACACAAGCGTAGAAAACCATTTGGTAATAGGAGATGAAAAATGGATATCTTACAATGATGGAGTCTGTAGAAAATCTTGGGCATCTAGTAGTGAGGCACAATTAACAAAATTGGATCAATCAATTAAAAATGAACTCCCAGAACTGGCAAATCGATAGGGGAGTGTGTTCCACCAAGATAGCTCTAGGCTCTACACCTCATTGGTCACTCGCAATAATGTATTGAGCCTTGGATAGGTCATTTTGCCCCATCCTCCCTATTCAGCAGACCTAGCTCCAAGTGACTACCACTTATTCCGGCCTCTGCAGAACTCCATGAATGCAAAGAAATTTAAAAAAAGGAAGAGGATATCAAAAACCACTTGGAACAGTTTTTTAACAATAAACTCCAGATATTCTATGAACATGACGTTATGCAGTTAGTGGAAAGGTGGGAAAAAAGTCATATTAAATAATGGTCAATATATTGTATATTTAAATAAATTTTCTTTCTATAATACATTGAGTTTTATTTCATCCTTAAAAATCGAAAGGACTTATTTGCTAACTCACTATGTAATCATAATAATGATAATTGTTTTATATAATATTCCTGAAAATGGGGCAGAGCCCGAAAGGAGGAAGATTTAATTTTTTCGCATTCCTTGAAGAAAATAAATGTTATGTCTATAATACACCGATTTCATTTCACTTTAAAAAACCGAAAGGACTTATTTTCCAACCTAATACATATTCAAGAGGTATTATTAATTTGATTATTGATAAAAAATTGGTTATTTCAGATCACGATTTGAACTTCATGAAACACACTGTATATACATACTTTTTTTTTCTTTTTAATCTTTAATTCAATGAAAATCTTTAGGTGTGAATATCTCTTAAACAAAGCGTTTGCGGAAATACCTTCAGAGGATTTCATTTTTTTGTTTTGAGGTCCTAGTTAATTTTTGCAGTATGGCCTGTTAACCCTGAAACACACTGTATCTCTCTCTCTCTCTCTCTCTAGCTAGAGTTGGAGATAGGTCTGCTGAATAGGGAGGGTGGGGCAAAATGTCCTATCCAAGGCTCAATACATTATTGCGAGTGACCAATGACGTGTAGGACCTAGCGTTGTCTTGATAGAACACCTTTCCCCCCCCCCCCTACCGATTTGCCAGTTCTGGTAGTTTATTTTTAATTGATTGATCCAATTTTTCAATTGTGAGCAGTATAAAGCTAAATCAATTGTTTGTCCTGATGGCGATATCTAATAGAAAATAACTTGAAATCCCACCATATGGAAAGCATTACCTAACATTCTCACTACTAGATGCACAAGATTTTCTACGGACTACATCGATGTAAGATATCCATTTTTCTTCTCCTATTACGAGCCTTTTCAAAAATGGGTCGTTTTGTTGCCGAACTTGCGCAAATGGTTTTCTACGCTTGTGTGCAACACATTTAGGGCCATAGCAATCCCCGCACTGATTGGGTAGGATTTTGATCAAAAATGGCCATGACATTGCTCGTTTCAATTTCATATGGACAACCAGACCGCTGAGCATCATTGATGTAAAAATTTCCTGAATGAAATTTGGCCAACCAATTTCGACAGGTGCGTTCGTTATCTTGTTTTGAGGTCCTGAATTCATATTTTCAGTTTGGCCACTTAAGCTTGAAACACTCTGTATATATATTTCTGATGATGAAAAAACATTTCGCGAAACTTTACATAATAGGTGATAAATAAAAATAGAATATTATCAAAAGAAAGTTATATTTGACAAGTAAACCATATGAGACAAGAAACTTACAAACAAATGAAAAAATAAGAAGAAACTGATAACTATTCAACTCTTCATTTGAACTTTTTAAGCTATAGTTGTTCATGTATCGAGTAGAAAAAAATCGTGAAAAAAACAAGGATTGAATTTTTTTTTCCAAGTAATGGAAAAGTGACCCCTACCAACTGCATACTTCTTCTTCAGGTGCATATCAACAGTGATACTCGTATTTGCAATCTGATTGGCCAGTTTTTGCTACTCTTCTGGGTGGGGAGGGAGTAATGACAGTAATATAGACCGAAGTACTTTTACAGCTAGCCAAAATTACCCCTGAAAAAAAAATGACCGCGGTCGGGTTAGATTTAAATGGGCTGGATAGAGCGCAGGATAATAACAGCTCCTCGCTGCTTTTTCAGCCTATCAGATCTAAAGTGTCCTCGAAACCGTCTTCGCACTTATAGTTGTCCTTCTTAAATTATAATATTTATTTTAAAGTTTAAAATACTATTTTAATATAATTGCTAACAGTAGAGATGTTTACATAAATTGTGATAAATGTTCAATGCGTTATAGTGCTAAATAGTTAGCAGGAATCGTAAGGGAATATTGTGCTATCCACCTGACGTGCTATTAACTATAGGAAGTTCATACCAAATATTTACTTGTTGTTTTGATTTTTAAGGATTTATTTATTAAAATATTATAGATTTATAGATTTATAGGATTAAAATATAAATTATAAATAATATCTCATTATAAAGGGAAGGAAATGCTGAACAATCACCCCACTTATAGTAAGCACTTCTGATTTTTAGTTTATGATGTTTTTTAATTCTCAAGGAAAAAAAACACTTTAATTAGTTGACTTCAGCCGACTTTACCCGAGATTCTATTTCCTTCTTAAAAGAAAAAGGAAATAGAAGATGAAAAAAATATAATATTCTTTCCTACACATTTACAAAAATAACACACTAATCTTAAATAATTTTCTCGACTTTAACAAATTTAATTCTTATCCAACTCCGAACATCTCTACAATCCTCCATGAATGTTAAAACGGCAGTAGCCCCGAGACCTTTTGTATATATGCATTTGGATTGCTGGCAATGACCAGTTTCTCCACACAAGTCCTGAACTTTTAGTACTGTAGTGCTCTGGTTTTTAGTCTCCATTGGCTTCCAATACCAGTAATGCGGCTGGAAGAGAAGCAAACGATTCTCCTAGAGTCCTGCTTTATTTGTGGAAGACATATTTAGGTTCGGAGTTCCCTGGATGAATGTTTATTTATGAATATATAAATGTATTTAAGATAACTTATTTATTTAAAAAAATTTATTTTTGAAGTGCATATATTTATTTTCCTTCAATCTTATTATTCTTTATTATCATTAACATTGTTATTTAATTTTTTTTGCTTTGCTTTTTTAGATTTTTGGAATATCATCCACACCTCAGAAAAAAAATCTGATGTGTCCACTCACACGACGTTTCTACCTATTTCAGAAAAGTTTTTATATCTTTACATTTGTTCATGGAGAAACAAAAAAAAATTGAACTAGATTTATTTTCCTGAAAATTGATCAAAGAAAAGATCTGGGTACGATTTATTTGATAAACTATAGCAGTGTAAACCGGCTTAAGGTAGGTCAGTGTAAAAATTTCAATACTCTCTAATATTGCTGATCAAAAACTTTTTGCCATAGCTTAGTACTGTGAAATAATAATTTCTGTTAAAAGTAAAGGAAATAGTGAAGCTTGTGTGATGCGGGCAACAGATTTTCTTACTTTCACTTAATCATCTTTATTCTCTCATTCACCCCTTTCTGACACCAGGATATGAACTAGTAATCCTACATTGGAAATTGAATAGCTGTAACTTCGTTACTTGTTGTCCAAAATGAACGATTTTTATATAGTTTTGTAGGGCTTTAAAACGTAGAGATCCGTCGAAAACCGCATATCGGAAATTTGACCTGATTGCAATACTTTCCTTACCAAGTATAGGTAGGAAAGTAATAAGTTCAAACATGTGTAAAAAATAGAATAAGCTGTATCATCGCTAATATTGGTTAGATTCCGATGTTGTTTTTTTTTTGTAATTTAATTACGTTTCAAAAGTTTTATTATAAATTTTACCGTATAATATATACTTAGGGAGTTAGGTCCCATAACATTTTTCTTTTATTTATAACTTTTTTTTCTGAATTTTCTCTGGAATTTAGTCTATATACGAAAATTGAAAGGACACTTATTAGAACATTATAGGAAAGTTTTATCAAAATCGTTTGAGTCGTTTTCGCGCTACAGTCTATAGAAAAACATGTTGTTCATTTATTGAGCGCAAGATATTGCGCATGGAGCACTAAATTTGTGGCACAGGTATCCGTTGTCAAAACCCTACAAAATAAAAAAAGAAGTAACAAAATCGGTTCAGCATTTCCCGAGAAAATCTTAGCACAGACAGACCAGTGGCTAAAAATGTGTTTTTCGGACTCAGGGAGCTCTGAAACGAATAAATCTGTCGAAAACGGCATATCGGAAATTTGACTCGATTACAATACTTTCCTTACCTAGTATAGGTTTGAAAGTAAAAACACTTAAGGAAATGTAGACGAATGGTTTTACTTATTAAATAATTTCTTGTTCATCTCGATATTTTCTTTGCAACATTCGCTGATGACACCGGAATCTTGTCATCCAACTCTGATCCCGAAATAGCATCCTCAAATCTGCAAAGTAACCTCTCCATTATTGAGCACTGGCGTATTAAAGCGGATGAATCCAAATATATTACATTTACAATGCTTGAAAGAAAGTGCTTGCGAACATACCTTCGTAGGAATTTTTTTTCTTGTTTTGAGGTCCTTAATTCATATTTTCAGTTTGGCCGCTTTACCCTAAAATATCCCGTATTTTATAATTATTATTTTACATAATTTTCTATAAGAACATGCTCTAACCCTCAACCGTTCATTTGTTTTTGAAAAAACCTCTATCCTTTCCACGGTCTCTAATCAAGAAAAATACTCATTTCTGAATCCATCCAGATTCGCATGGAAACGAATAACATTTTAAATCTTAAATATTATAAGTGAAAAATAACTTATATATTACATCCTATTATTTTTATCTACTTTCAATTTTTATTGGTTAATTCAATTTAATTGTTCATTATTCTAAGTATTTCCGCTTTGCATGATCTCTCTTTTATTTTATTTTAGTTTTATATTTACATTCTACACCAATGTATGATCATCCGTTTTCACTTTGTATTAATTTTCCTTTTTAACATTGTCTCAATATTATCTAATATTTAAATGTAATTTTCTTACATATGTGCAACCAAATATAATTATAATTATTTTTTCCCTTTCTATACTTCTAAGTTGGTTCTGCAAAGTATGGTCTCGTATTTCTATATTTATATTTTGCTTCTACGCACGTTTCACTTCATCTATATTCGTTTTTATTCATATTGTACTCTTATTTATAATCTCTTAATTTTTTTTTATATGTATATGAATATATTTATAATTTAATATTTCATAGATATAGTATTTTTTCCATTGTATCCATCCATATCTTCAAATTTTAGATACTGTAATTTTCTAGGTTTTTCCCCATTACCCAAACAAGTCAGCAAATTCCCCAATACCTGCCCTTACCCTGATTTTCCAGTTCTAAGTGAAAGTCCTAGCTGAATTCACCTGTAAGTCTCTAATTTTATTTACTTATTCATTCAATTATTTGGTTTTCTTTTTTCTTTCCTTTCTCCACATTCCTTTATGCCTATTATTTCGTATTATATCCTTTTTTCCTTTCCTTTCAATCTCTCTTATGGATCTGTAGAAGTATATTTACATTTGCAGATATTATATATTACACTACAACAATTGTTACCATCTATTTACTTTAGTTTAGGATCTTGTTACTTAGCTTACTCTGTTTATATTTTAATGTACTTACTGTTTATAATTTTAATAAGCTTATTCATATTGTTTATAATTTTTTGTCTAAATATTATCTAACTTGCACAATTCTCTACATCTTTTTTTTATCTTGTTCGTTCTAGCCCTGAAGAAGACCTGCAAAGTCGAGTCGAAACGTTAGCTTTTAATAAAATCGTTTTGCCACTATTTAGCCTATTTATGACTATCTCCTTCCTTTATTATTTTATTTATTTGTTTTTTAAATTAATCTATATTTATGTATATTTTAGGGTTTAAAACAGGGGGATTCCCTTTCGCCTGTCCTGTTCAATTTGGCCATCAGGGAGGTAATGTACGTACCGAGAAAGGGTTGAATCTGGGTGGAACAACATCCGTGCTGAGCTATGCTGATGATCTGGTACTGTTAAGCAAAGACGTTGAAACTATAAAACTAAATACGACAACGTTAATGAAAGCCGGTAAAGAACTAGGACTCGAAATAAACTTGGATAAAACAAAATATATGGTTAGCTGTAAAAATGGCGATACTACTGGTGATATCGATATAGATAGTAATATTTTTGAACAGATAGATAAATTTAGGTATCTAGATTCTACGATAACTAGAAAAACCGAAATTGAAGAAGAGATTAAGGTTAGGCTGAAGGCGGGAAATGCTTGTTATTTTTCTGTGACAAAACTACTTAGTTCGCGCCTCTTGTCCCGGAACTTAAAAATTAGAATCTATAAAACAATTATCTTGCCTACAGTTCTTTACGGACGCGAAACTTGGCCGCTTACATTAAGGGATGAGCAGCGTCTTAAGGTTTTTGAAAATAAAGTATTGCGTAAAATATTCGGACCGAAGAAGGATGAGTTAACCGGAGAGTTCAGACGTTTACACAACGCCGAATCGCGTGAACTGTATCCGGGTAATATAATTGAGGTAATATAATTAAATGGGCATGTAAAGTTGTTGGGCTTAGTAACAAGAGAATTCCTAAAAGGTTAATATTTGCTGTGCCGAATGGTAAGCGTCCGAGGGGTAGACCGAAGCGAAGGTGGGAAGATTGCATTAAAGCCGATCTGAAGGGTTTGGACGGCAACCGGTGGAGGGAGGTGTGTAATAAGCGATTGGTGGTCTCGGCATCGAACCTTCGGGTTCGCTAAACCTTCGGGTTTCTTCTTTATTTTCACTTCTCAATTCCTGCACTAAAATTTGCCTTAACCTATCTACAGAATTAGCCTCATCAAAAACCAAACCTAATTCTTTTAGTTTAA